ATCATTTTACAGAACAGTGAAATTGCAGCTCTTGTTATAGATCTTCAGTTCATCCGCATACATTACAAAAGGCGGCTTCAGAGAATATTTAATGTCGGAGGTATAAATCACAAAAGGAAGGGGCCCAAGTACCGATCCCTGAGGAACTCCACTCACCACTCTTTTCTGCATACCAAGTGCGTCACCCACTTTAACACTGAACAACCGATTTGAAAGAAAAATCTCTATCCAAGGAAGAAAGTTTCCACGGACGCCATTTTGAGAAGACCCACAGTAATGTTATCTAGGAGATTTGATTCTACACAGTTTAGATATCTTTTTATAGCTATTGCCACCTCGGAGAATTTAACGGAAGCAATAGTTGTTGAATTAGGGGGTGTTTGTACAGCAGGGAGATTAGAATTTGTGTCAACTGTAAAAACTTTAGCAAACGTGTCTGCAAACAAATTAGCGACTAACTGACTATCCTCGGTGACACGTCCACTAGCGTCTCTTAGGTGAGGAGTCTTTACAGAGGCCCAATTTGCGAAAAACGCACGTATTTATCAAAACATTTCAGCAGAAACTTTGTTTGAAAACACTCTGTACGCCACAATGCCCTTTTTTTCTAATTAGTTTGAGAATCTGTTTGTTGATCCATGGTTAATTTGAGGACTGTTTTCTAACTACCGAAGATGCGGCGAGTACCTAAAATACTTCACCTCCTCAAAAAGATCCGTTATCAGCGCAAAAAAATTACGATAAGACTTGAATTGATATCCAAACCTTGTTACTGGGAAAACATGTACTGAATTCCATGAAAACGACCGAAAACCCACCGATATCAATACAAAAATATGTACACCAAGGACCAGGAACATCAATAATCCCAATTCGCAAGTTAACAATTGGAAAGGACTTACCAACCAGGTGAAAGCGGGGATCGCACAATCACGCACCGGACGCACCTATCACCCATGATGGTTGACTCTAATCTCCCCAGTAAAGTAAAAAGTAACAAAGTAGTTTTAACTATTTATTCCTCCACTGACAAAAAAAGTTGCGATTAAGTTGTGTCGGGTAAGGACACGCTTTAATGCTCAGCTCCAAAAAAAACTTTGAATTAATTTTAAATGAAATCAAATTAAACGTTTTGAATCAATGCTAATACATATTTGAATATCACAAATTTAATAAAAAAAAAATTGGTCTAAAGAGTTTAGACAGTACTTCCCTCGCTGTCGGAAACTTGACGACTGCACGGCTATTGTGTTTTTTTTCTCATTACATTTTTGTAGTGTGGAATTTAAAAAAAAATGCGATGACGTCATCAACATTTTTGCAAGGACACGTATATTAGTTGGGATAGATATAGTGTAATACTAAGAATAAAATTATTGTATTCCCAAATTTTCGGGAAAATGAACTGGGTCGTTTTGAATATTGATTTGTTATAATCAATAAAATAACGAAACAATTTACTCACGTATACGGCGCCGGTGAGAGGCAACTGAAAATCGTTTATGTATAAGCATTTTTAATTTAGTTCTTCCCGCCTTAAGAATTGACCTTGAAAAAGTTTGAAAGGCCCGCGAAAAATTTAAAAATTCAAAAGTTGGGCCTTGGCCACAGTATAGATATCAAAAACAAAATTGATATCTATACTGTGCTTATGGGCTATTTACAGTAAAAAATGATTAAAAATATCTGACATACCTGTGACTATACCGGCTAAAATTATAGTACACACAATTTTTGAATGAAGTTTGCACGAATACATTGGATTACCGTAGAGATAAGAAAATATAACATTATTTAAAATAAAAGATACATTTTGTGTTGGCAAACTTGGTAGAACTTCAACAATAATTTCTACCATAAAGTGTATTAACGCGACAAATTGTTTGCTTGGAGAGATTAATCTTCCACGATTTTGAATATATATTAGTTCCAATAGAGGACTTTTTATGTGGGGATTAAAGTCTCTCAATGTTGAAAAACATAAATCGCAGCCCACAGATTCATTGGCATTTTTAATTAAATACCCACACAAAAAAGCTATAGCTGCAGTTTCTACGCTGACAACTTCGTTATTTTCAGCACCATCAAAAGGTCTTAATTTTTCCAGTTTCATTAATGTAGAGTCATCCAATGTAATAACGATGGTAGAATCCAATGAATTTTGGTCTAGGTGAGGAGTTACAAAACTAATGTAACTGCAGTCAGAAGCAATATTACTTGAATTAACGTTTTTAATTATACCGCTTTTCAAAATTTGGCGAAGGGCATGCTCGGCTGACTCTATCGCATCGGAACTAAATCCTCTTGTCAAAACATAAATAAGTTTAGTTCACTTATTAAGTACTTGATGCGGAGATGTGTGCTCTTGCTTGTAAACAAAAATGGTTCGGCAGTTTCTTTTGTCAAACCTCGCATTCCCATCGCTTGCGACCTTTCTTGGATGCCTTTAATATATAATGGAAATTCTTGGTCTAGCCATAATAAACGATCATCAGACGTATTAGTGTATGGTGCAAGATCATGGTCATGTTGTCGGACATGCTGACTTTTGTTACTTACGTCATGAAGTTTGAAAAATTTGAACATTGTTTCCAAATATCGCATTGTAGCCAAACACTCTTTAAAATAAGAAACTCCATCATAACCATGCGTGGCTGGATATCTCAAGGATGCAGTTACTGAAGTTGAGAATATTTGAACAGCTAGATGTACTTTCATTTTTTCCAAGTTACTTGGGGAAAGATGTTTTCTTGTTAAGTAACGAACAGGCTTTACAACTAAGTTTCCTTGAATTTCGGCCAACTCTCTTAAATAGTTAGCTGAAATAATTCCGTCTTCAGAAGCCATATCGTGGTCTAAAAATATGTTTCTGGCATTTTTAATTAAGTGGCAGTAATCAAAACTGAAAAAAAGTTTTAAACCAACACTGAAAGGATGTGGAATGCAAGTTTGAAGGCAGCCATTTCCAAAATGTTTCTTCAACAATTCGTACAACCATAAATTGGCATTCTGCAAGTAATTTCAACACTTCAAGTGCCAGTTTGTGCAACTCCGTGCTGCTTAATTTTTTATGGAAATAGTAGCTCGCCGGGGTTACATACTTTGTTGAAATGCCATGAATTATAAAACAGAGTAATTGATTTGCTATAACTGGTTTTTTAGTAATAGTATTGACTTTAGGAAGCGTTTCCAATCCAAAAATTCGATCTTCTGCCTTTGAATATCTGATACTTTCTTTCACGGCCATGTCGTCCACAATTAAAGAACATACGCGTTCCGAAATGTTCAAATTTTTAATTTCGCTTGTCAATCGTTCCTTTATTAAATGTTTATTTTCAGAACCAAAATATTTTCGTAATGTTGTCTTACATGGGAGTTTCAGGAAGTCATTTCTTGGAAATTCGTAACCCCTTGGCGAACAAAATCTCCAGGCAATGCAATAACGAATTGTCGTTTCAGACCATTTTGGTTTCTTCTTGTTGTAATTTTGAATTTGATCCAAAATTAAAATTGCTTTGGGATTCAAATTTTTGGCGTCATTTTTTATTTGTTTTAATTGTTCCCATTCTTTACACAATGATTTTTCTTGTTTTTCTCTTTCTACTGTTTCTTTGAGCTTATCATAACGCAGCTGCAGTTGTTTTAATTTCTGTTTTAGGCAGCGGTTTGTATATTCTAAACTTTCTATTTGCGCCGATGTACGTAAGGTTTGAGTGGCACAGTCAAAAACATTGTTAAATATGCAAGACCCTGGGAACTCAGTACTTTCCGTGAATTCTGTATTGCTGTTCAGCTAAAAGTATAACATAATAACATACATATATTGCAACGGTAAAATAAGATTTATTACAAATCTAGAAGGAATAGCGCCCGCTCGAAGAGTACGTTTCTTTGAAGACACTATAAAAACTTCGTGCTTAAAATGTGAACTGCAAATCGTCGAATATTCCGACAGATCTTCAACGTCTAGAAGCGAAAAGTTAGATATAGGAAATGAACCAATCTGTAGATTTACCAGAAAAGGGTGCAAGTGCTTCTTTCCATTGCAACGCCAAATTTGTATCAACAGGAATATAATGAAATGAAAAATCTTGCAAATCACGAGATTTACAGTTTGAAACACAGCATTTTCTGTTCGAAGACATTGTTTTAATTAATGAAAATCGACGCGTCTCAACACGTTAATGACGCTAATAACAACAAACGAGTATAATGAAAGTTCTGATAAGAACTGATTTTTTCACAGAATATGTGAATAACAACAAACAACTAAACGTAAAACTTGGAAAAACAACTTTAAAGCTCAAAAAACTATCAAAATCAAAAAAAGATGCGTGTCATGCGCAATGGCGGTTTTGACATTTGAGAAAAAACTGATGCGCCCTCTACGTTCTCCTGTGACTGTAAGACAAGGTTAGAGATATTTTTGCATAAGTAAGAAGAAGATGGTTAGTATCAATAAAATGCGGATCAAGATTTAAAGGTTTTTGTAATTTTATTTGTCGTGTACTTATTGGTAATAAATAAATTTAAGTATGTATTTTTTTTTTTTTTATTTAAACCACTTTAAGCAAGTCAAATAAAAATTATAATTGTTATGCAACCAACTTTACACCCTCAATATTTGAATTTTCTTTCATCAATAGATGTCTCTACCGTACTCCCGCTAAATGTCATATGTCATACACAAAAATTTTGCTTACGCGCACGGTCGGATAGAGTGAAACTCTATCTTCATATCAAGGAGGCCGTGATGTTTTCAATGCTGGTATTACAGTTCGCACCCCAATCTACACCCCATGGGCTAGCAGCAGGGGTCCTGAAATGAGATAGCCTTCACCTTATCCTCTCACTGCGTGGTTCAGAACCCGCCGCCAGAGGTCGGAATAAAAAGATATCTGTAAAAGCTGATTCGCGCAGATTTTCAAAATTTTAAAATTTGTTTACACCCCCTCCTCTTCTACCCTTTGTCACCACCACAGGGAGGGTATTCTATGGCTAGCAGTATTAGAGTTGACTAGAGTGGTTTGCAGTGGTTTTGTTTATGGCTGTTTGGTTCAAGGAGGGTTTTAGGGTTTTCATTGTGCGGTCTTGTTTTAATGCTTGATGGGGACAAATATGGTTGAAGGTAATGCAATTGATTGTCCCAAGTTATAAAAAATTTCAAAAAACTGCTTATCTTTTCAGATAAGGAGATTCTAGTGAACTGGGCCGAAATGCGGCAGTCGCTGTTGAGAAGTGCGAAGAAAATGGCTGCTAATCTCTTTAAGTTAAGAATTTTGTACAACAAGTTAGACTATTATGCTCAATTGGAGGTGTTAGAAGACAAGATGATAATTACCCCTGACGACATGGACATCGATACAGTCCTTTTCTTTGAAAGCCATTTCCAGGGAGCCGAACCAATCGTTGATGAAGAAAGAAAAGTATTCCGTTTACAGTTCAATTTTAAAAATTCAAGAAGATCGCCAATAATTGCTATTGTAAAGGACCGAGATACCTTAACAAGACTGGAAAGTGCTGTCAGTAAATTATTTGGGTAAGGAAACATTCTTTTCATGTTTCATACTTTGTGATCCAAACATATAAGAAATTCACGTTCGGTAGATGTAACTAGATTTGGTAACTTTTTTTTTTAAGCTGTGTAACTGCGGACATAATTGTTCTAGTGTATAATGTATAACTGGAATGTCAGAAATTAGGTATCAAAAATGTGACATGTAAGTAAGTAAATGTCAAATATGTGATGGTTTTCTGGTGATCTGGTGAATCTATTTTTGAATCCAGGAGAAAATTGCATCGCTCTAAAAGCCCAAAGAGCAACCCGCATGTAAAAATGTGAATCTTTTCTCTTCACTAGTTATTTTAGGAGGACAAGCTTTGATGTCATCATCATGGATCCACAATTTTACCATGGATCCGTGTTGGTGCATCCATGTCTCATCCAAGTAAATGAAAAGTAAATCTTCACCACTATCACGCAATTAGAGATACCGCTTTAGAAATTTGATTCTGGTAGCTATTTAATGTGAAAAACTTCGCCTTCGGAAACCTAAATTTATACGTGTAGTACGTACAATTATTCTCCAAGCCGAGTATTTTCCCTTTTACAAAACAATAACGATTATATAAACTTAAAAACCAATTGTAGAGCGGACCCAACAAAGCATGTAGGTATATAAATCTGGGCAGTCGTCTTTCTGATTCTGAGTATAATATTAACGGCACCGACGCCGTTGTATCGGTATTATTTTAAAATTCGAAAAACACTCGAGAACACTAGCGAACTTTACGGAAAATATTTCTGCCACCAGTTTAACTGTTTCCGTTTTACCCACGCATTGTCTATTTTTCCCAGTAATTTTTTCAAAACCACGAAATATTTCTTGTTTCTTTTCCTTTAAAATGGGCTTTCTTATGACTACTTTTGTGGAAATTGTTGCCACGCTGTATTTAAGGATTTTCTTCAAACGAAGCGTGTTAAAATTAGAAAAACTTCGTTTTTTCCAGACAATTCAGATTTGACATTTGAATTAGAAAATTAGACAGTTGATGCCAATCTTTAATTTCTAGTGATCTTAAGATTGCAACTTAACCACAGAAAAAATTCTGTCAGTTACTTCTACCGAACGTGAATGCTTATTACATCTGTGCACTTAAGGCTCCTCCTTACGGTCATTAAAATCTGCCGAAATACGGCAAAACGCCACTTCCAATATCATCCTTACTATAGCACTTGAATACTTGTGCAACATATCCACTTGTTTGTAATACGAAAATCTTCATGGAAATAGTTTTTATATTGCATTAGAGGCTTTCATTTCTTTAATCTATACTTATACAGCCTGTTATTGAAAGGTACGTACAAAATAAAATCGGCAATTGGTCTCGAAGTATAGGTGCTAAAAGTTAAAAAAAGTTCAGGTAAAAGTGTTCTCCTTTTAGAGATAAAAATGATTAAAGTTTATGTCCAAATTCGTTGTACGCCTCTGACAAAAAGATCATCTTTCGTTTCCGTAGCAACATTTAGTCTTGACAAAAGTTTTATTGTTACAGTTGCTAGGATTTACTAAAATAAATTAATTTTACCTATTTATCGTTCAGTAGCGTCTAAAGAGATTGGATAAGGGTTAATTTTCCCGTTATAATTTTGATAACAAAATAAGTTTTTCCGACTTCTTAGACTTCGCGAAGAACTGTCCATTTTGTTGTACTTACCTTTCAATAACACCCTGTATTATAAAGCTGAAGTGTTTGTTAGGTTGAACGCGCTAATCTCAGAAACTACTGTTCGAAGTCAAAAAATCTTTTTGTGTTGGATAGTCCATTTATCGTATCTACATATAGGCTATATAATATCATGCTACGATCAACAGGAGCGAAGTAACAATGAAAAATTAGGAAAAACGGGAAAATTATTCCTCTTTTGACAACTTCCGTTGCTTACGCTGCTTAAACGGTTAAAGTTACATAAAAATTATGTACCTATGACGAAATCGTTCCCCTCTAAAAGTTCTAAAGAAAAGTCCGTGAGAGCATATGTCTATCTTTTAAGGTCGACTCAGTATAACCCTTTTTATGGTAATGAAATTTGTTGTAAAATAATAATGCATTATTATATAAAATTCTCCATTAGTCCACTATTTGGTCTGCGTTTACAGCATGAGGACTAAACTCACTTGGGTCGAATTTGTTGTTTAGGTTGCGGACTAAGCAATCGCTTTAAACGTACTCAGTATGTGAAGGTAAGCGAAGAAAAATGTTTCTGCCTCGGTGGGAGTCCAACCACACGTCACCTGCTTGCCGGGCAGGTATCCTGACCACTAAACTACGAGGCCGCTTATCTTTCTCCGTTTACCAACGTGTTATTGTGCCACCACAAATGTATCGCCTTGTTTTCATTACGTCATGGTTCTGTTATCGTCATCATCCCCTCATCTCCTCAATTGTACTTAGGTACAATTTTTGTGTCAAATATTTTTCCTTATTTTGAAATAAACATTCTACCAGTTTAATTATATTTTTTGCAGGGCTTCGACAGATTTCGATCCGAATGAGATAACAATGGAAGAAGAAAAGAAACAATCAACTAATAAAATAAAAATTACAAAATCATAAACATCAAATTTTATGCACTTCTCTTGTTTCCTCAACAATGTAGCTTCTGTAGGGTTTTACACAAAATACAAATTTATGTATGCACATACCATTTTGATAACAAGAATAATTTCAGTTTTGTAATTCAGTATATTTGTTGGCAGTTACTCCTTTATATTTGTCAATAAATAAAGCAAAAAAAAAAAATCAGTATTTTAGGACATGGTAATTGTATTATAACATAACGCCTTTGTAATTTCGATTATATTTGTTTTTGAACACCTAATACTTTCTTTGATTTATTAACCTTATTGACTGATCACAAAATGTCCGAGTTGGATGACGCAAAATCGTAAAAATCGATGTTTTATAATGCATAAAATTTGACTTATTATAGTCATTTTCCTATTTTTTATGCATTATTTTTAACAAAAACCACATATTCAGGTGTTACGTCTGGGTCACACTTTTTAAGAAATCATAAAAAACAGGGTTGTTTTCTTTATTTTTAGCATAAAAATCTGGCCCACATTTTTAAAAAGGCAATAAAAATAGGGTAGTTTCCATAAAAAATCCATGTTTTAATAGATAAAATGTGTTTAAAAACAGGTAATTTTCTCAATTTTTTGTGTTTTTGAAAAGACCTCAGTGGGCTGTTATTCAAACTCAACAAACTTGAACGACTAAAACTTGAAAGTCGACTCCTTTTTCTAAAAAATGGATGTTTTTGGGAAAATCTGAGTTAGCGACAAGAGTCAGTCTTGGACAGTTGCGTGCCATTCACATGATAATCATGCTTTTGATTTCGGCTACTATTAGTATATAGCACGACGCATTTTGCTGAGTTAATAGGCAGCAACCACGACCAACTGACAGCTACATCTAAATCATTTTACAGAACAGTGAAATTGCAGCTCTTGTTATAGATCTTCAGTTCATCCGCATACATTACAAAAGGCGGCTTCAGAGAATATTTAATGTCGGAGGTATAAATCACAAAAAGAAGGGGCCTAAGTACCGATCCCTGAGGAACTCCACTCACTACTCTTTTCTGCATACCAAGTGCGTCACCCACTTTAACACTGAACAACCGATTTGAAAGAAAAATCTCTATCCAAGGAAGAAAGTTTCCACGGACGCCATTTTGAGAAGACCCACAGTAATGTTATCTAGGAGATTTGATTCTACACAGTTTAGATATCTTTTTATAGCTATTGCCACCTCGGAGAATTTAACGGAAGCAATAGTTGTGGAATTAGGGGGTGTTTGTACAGCAGGGAGATTAGAATTTGTGTCAACTGTAAAAACTTTAGCAAACGTGTCTGCAAACAAATTAGCGACTAACTGACTATCCTCGGTGACACGTCCACTAGCGTCTCTTAGGTGAGGAGTCTTTACAGAGGCCCAATTTGCGAAGAACGCACGTATTTATCAAAACATTTCAGCAGAAACTTTGTTTGAAAACACTCTGTATGCCACAATGCCCTTTTTTTCCAATTAGTTTGAGAATCTGTTTGTTGATCCATGGTTAATTTGAGGACTGTTTTCTAACTACCGAAGCTGCGGCGAGTACCTAAAATACTTCACCTCCTCAAAAAGATCCGTTATCAGCGCAAAAAAATTACGATAAGACTTGAATTGATATCCAAACCTTGTTACTGGGAAAACATGTACTGAATTCCCTGAAAACGACCGAAAACCCACCGATATCAATACAAAAATATGTATACCAAGAACCAGGAACATCAATAATCTCAATTCGCAAGTTAACAATTGGAAAGGACTCACCAACCAGGTGAAAGCGGGGATCGCACAATCACGCACCGGACGCACCTATCACCCATGATGGTTGACTCTAATCTCCCCAGTAAAGTAAAAAGTAACAAAGTAGTTTTAACTATTTATTCCTCCACTGACAAAAAAAGTTGCGATTAAGTTGTGACGGGTAAGGACACGCTTTAATGCCCAGCTCCAAAAAAAACTTTGAATTAATTTTAAATGATATCAAATTAAACGTTTTGAATCAATGCTAATATTTGAATATCACAAATTTAATAAAAAAATAACAAATAAAAATCTGAATTAAAGTAACTGGATGCAAATACACAGAGACTTTAAATATGTATAGACCGGTGGCCTAAAACTTGAAGCCGGCAGTCGCCATATTGCTTAGTCCCAAAATCGCGCCGAATTTAAAATGTCAACAATTTCAAAGTTATTAAAACACGATCTTAACAAGTTTATTTGGAATAGTAAGGTGTTGCCGATGAAATAAAATACCTTTTTGACCACTACTTTTTTGTTTCGAATTACGATACCACCGTACACCGCAGCTTACTGGCATTTTCGTTCAAAGTTCACTTAATTTATTAAATATGTCGTAACAAACGCGACACCATTGACCAGGAGCTAGGTCCAATAAACAAAAAAAAACAACAAATAACAGCCACACTCAGCACCCAACAAACAGACTTTCCTACTTCCATTAACGAAAACTCGAAAACTGAGAACGATAGTTCCGTTTAAAGGTTAAGTTGGGTCAGGATTGACAGAAAGGGACCAGCAATGGCGGCGATTTCTGTTGACAGAACTGCTTCACGAAATACAATAGAATTTAGGGTGACAGCCAGTCTATATATATTTGAAGTCTTTGCAAATACACAAGTTATTACAGACGTGTGGCGGCAAATTTAAAATTATGGCAGTCAACAAGAGAACAAAATTAAAATAAACAAATTATACAGCAGCACCAGAGCGCTATAAGAGTGGCGACCGAACTATCTCAATTTCATTCTAGAGCACAACAAAAATACTCAAAGGGGCATTGTAGCAAGAGCGGAGTTTGGGGCTCCTGGTCGTGGCACGACGGTGATTCTATCTATCACAAACTTACCGCACAGCACACCTCCATGACGAACATGTCGTGCTACCCAGGCCGTTACGGTCGAAAACTCGTGGTTGGAAGTCACGGCTATAGGTAAGCCTGCATCCCTTGTGCAGATGGCGCGATAAATCCCGCTAGCTCGACTAGGAACCGCGTCCTCCGCTTCTGCTACGTCTTATTGCGTCATTTACCTCAATTTCATTTTAAATGTTCACTTTCAATAACTCTAATATTAAACTATAACCGAACAAGTGTTAAAGTTCCAACAAAAGAGCAATAAACAACATTTAAATTCGCCATACACTCTTGCGAAATTTAAACAGCAAATAATTCTTTTTGAGATTAAAATTGGACATCAGATAATTTGTGTGATGGAAGCATTTATCAACAAAATATTTACAAAACAAAAAAAACTAGCAAAGATTCCTTCATCCACAAAGCGGCCATCTTTTCTACCAACCAACTCTGGTGATGGTTGCCTATGTTCAACTATCATTTTTGATTGATTTTTTTCAAATTCAAATCATTCGAATGTGATTTCGCGCCGCTGTTAATTTTTTTTCAGCACGCTATATCTTACAATCATGCTGAAAGTGCACTATGGTTTTCTTGCTTCAACTCATTTGCCCTATACTAACGGGAACAGTGCATTCTTTAACCAAAAAGCTCGGTAGAAATGATATTAGTGGGTAATTATTGTTGATTTACAACCACCCCGGTTTATGGCTTAGGCGAACGGAGCTCTGAAATAGACTATCGTTTTGGCCTCTAACTGAAAATATCCTATGTCAAAAGTGTGGTTAAAATAGCCTTCATGACATTTTTTATTGCTGTCTTTTGTGCGGCAATTTTTTCTGAACTGCAATTGCCCTTTTTGTGTTTCTCTTTTTTTATCGCTCTTTTTCCGCTTGTTTTTCTCGTTCTTTTTTGAGGGCCTTGATTTCCGCCTTCTTCACGTCTTTTTCGTGACTTTTTTGTCATCTTTTTTCGCTGTTTCTTCCCTTTTTAACTTATTTTTTTGCCTTATTTTAATCACCAGTTTTTGCGTTTTTGTGTTTTTTTTTGCATTTTTTTTGCTCTTTTTTATTGCCATTTTTTCCGCCTTTTTTTAACGCATTTTTTCGACTTTTTCATCGCCTTTCTTGTGATGCCTAATTTGTTTATTTTTTTCGTCTTTTTTCCCTATTTTTTCTTGATTTTTTACACGCTAGGTTTTCTGGCGGTTTTGCTTCTTTTGTGCTGTTTTTTATTACCGTTTTTTTGAGTTTTTATGGACTCTCTTATATGCCTTTTTTGCGTTTTTACCTCCTTTTTATAACATTTCTTGTGTTGCTTATTTTGTTACCTTATTTTAGCTTTTTTTTACCTTTTTTGCCATTTTTTGTTTACTTTTATGGCGTTTTTTTGTGGACTTTAATTACCATTTGTTTTTGTCGCTCTTTTTAAGCACCTTTTTTGTGACTTTTGTCGCATTTTTTTCCTTATTTGTTGTATTTTTGTCACCTTTCTTTATTTTGTTGCCTTTTTTAGCCCACTTTTTATAAATCTTTTTCTTACCTATTTTTGTCGTTTTTTCTCTTTTTTTAAGTCATCTCTTTTTGCCTGTTTTGTTTTTTTTTATATATTTTTGTGTGCGCTTTTGTATCATCTTTTTTCACCGCCTTTTTTTTAATCGCGTTTTTCTACCTTTTTATCTCCTTTCTTGTGGTGACTATTTTGTCCGTTTTTCACCTTTTCCAATTGTTTTCTACATTTTTTCCACGCCATTTTTTGCGGCTTTTTCCCTTAATCGAAAAATCGAGATATCGAGAACCCGAAAAGTCGTTAAATCGAAATATCAAAAACTTGCAAAGTCAAAAAACTGATAGTTCGGAAAATTGAAAAATCCAGAAATCGATAAACTGAAAAATCGACAATTGGAAAGATTGAAAAATCGAAACTCGAAAAATTGAGAAATGGGAAAATCGAAAGGTAGAAGAATCGAAAAGTCGAGAAATCCGAATGTTGAAAAATTGACGAATCGAGAAATTGAGAAATAAAAAAATAAAGAAATCGGTAAATCAAGAAACTAAGAAAATCCTCAAATTCTCAGAACTCGATGATCCTCAAATCTCCAAAACACCAAAATTCTGAAATCTTCAGAACTCCATAATCCTCAAAACACCATAATCCTTAAATCCTCAGAACAGAAAAATCCTTAAATTTTCAAATCTCCATAATCCTCAGATCCTCAGAACACCAAAATGACTATGGGTGGGGTTTAATCTTTGGCTTTAATTTTTTTGTTAATATACGTACATAGTATTTTTTGAATCACACGGTGCTCAAAAACATGGTAAATTCTTGTAGACAAATATGGATCTTGCATTTAAGCCCCGCCTCTCGATCTGACAACGAATGAAAAATTCATCACAATTGAGATCGGTACGAGAATGGGTGGGGCCTAAACTTTGGCTTTGTTTTTTTCTTAATATACATAGTATTTTTTGAACAACACGATGCTCAAAAACATGTTTTTAAGTTCTCGTAGAGAAATAAGGATTTTGCAGTTAAGCTCCGCCCTCTTGGCTCACCACGAATAAAAAAATCATCACAATTGAGATAGGGCGGGTGGGCGAGCTTACATTTTGCCTTTTTTTTCTCAACATGTGTAGACCTATTTCGACAATAAGAAACTTAAAACATGTCTAAAGTGGTAAATTTTTGTAGTAATCCACTTAAATTCTCCACTTTTCTTCTACAACCTCTTTAAATACGGCAAAAGTTGAGCATCAAAGTTACTATCAACGGCAACTTAACCTTCTAATTTTTACATCATTTTATTAACAGCACAAAACGACCATCTACATTCCAATCCCCCTGTGCCTTAAATCGAGGGTAGTTCACATAATTCAGAATTACCAACACAAAAATTTGCTCCGTTCATTAATGGTGGCCCGATATTTGATTGAAGGTAATTCACATATGTTTTGTTAGCTAAAATTTTTAAAGTTGACTGCAAGGTGGACACTTACAACACGAGTTGAGTATACACGCAGTGGCGAACTTGTGGGGGGCACAATGAATACAAATTCAAAAATAAAACATCATCATTTTATTTAAACTGATTATGCACATCGTGAACAGTTTCAATTTGACTGGTACAAAAATAAATACAATAAATTAATTATACTGAATGATGGGTTTTCAATGACATTTGACGACGTAGTTTCAGCTATTTCCATTCAGACTTCAATGTATACTTGTTTTTTTGAGAAAGTCGATTTGTTGTGTTCACGGTATTCAATTTTTGGGTAATTATTATTTGTATAAATTTAAAAAGAGCCGGTGATTTACCTGGGCTACTGGAATACTGTAAAACCTACAAATAAAAACGTTTAGGTACGCCACTGGCTCATCACAGAAACGCTTATCCCTAGAAGTCACATAAGAACGAGCACGTGGAACATCTAGCAATACAATATCTTTGCGCATGTCACGCAAACCTAACCTCACTAATCAACCTTACATATTTTACTAGAAATTATCACAGCCCTATAATGGATTCGAGAAAACTTGTCCCATTTATGAGTTTAGTGGTAGCAATGACAAACTCCACATTTGTGTCCTCTTGTTGTGACAAGAACCTCAGCGCTGAGATCTCTGCGAAAGTGCAGCCCCCTATGAAGAAAACTAGAACAACTTGTGGGGCGTCTGGGTCGCTTTTAGCCAAAGTTTTGGGAACCGCAGGAGACTCGTTCAACGTTGGGCCCGGCAGCAACTTCAAAACCTTTTTTAGTAGCTTGGAGCCCCCAGTTTTCGTCACTTTATGGGCTAAACGCACACTCAGAGGGGCATAAAAACTGTGAACGTAGCTGATGTCAGTTGGGTTAATTTCAGAGGTGTCTTCCATGGTGAGGCAAAGCGCTTTGCGTAGATTTGCATATTGGCAAGTGGGAGACTGGGCTTTAAGCAGCCCCACTTTTTCCAATTTGGTTATAGCTTGAAGAACTTGGATGCCGTAAACCTGGAAAAAAATAAATCAAGTTGGTGTAAATGACGTTTGTGACAAGCGACACCTGCTCAGATGCCAACTTTGCCAAAATAAATACCTGTACTAATTCCTCCTTGTAGTGCTCCAGCACTTTAGGCTTCAGCTTCGAGCTGGTGATACACTGCAAACAAATCAGTCTCAAGACTTTCACTAACGGCTTTTCTTGTGCTATCAAATCCTCAATGTAAGGACTTGCTTTATCATCTTCAATGCAATTTAAAAATCCCTGTTCAGTCTGTAAAGTGTCCAAAAAATCGTAACTGTCAGTCACTTCTTTAATACACTCCGCGATGGCTGTATGATGTGACAGAGCTTTCTTTTTTACCAAAATCTGTGGCAGTTTTTGCACGTACAACTTCATTTCTTGCACTGACCTTTCCTGTGTATTGTCCAACTGAGTACTTATAGTTTTGGCTTGTTTGGACAAAAAAGCGCCCACTGCATTAAAATTCTTGTCTCTGATGTCAGCAAATAACTTATCGGCCGAATTCAAAATAATTTGTTTTTTATCTTCCGACAACGACTCAGACGTGCGTTCTTCGCTACTCAGGAAATTGTCGATGGGGAAGTGCGCCGTCGAGTTGTTGATGCCGAAAATTTCGTCAATCAGGCCTTCGTACGTCAACTGGGTGGCCAAAGGCGTGATGAGATCCACAGTCCGATCTATCAAGAGAATCTGATCTATAGTGGAAGTTTGGTTGGGTTTGGTGGTCACGTTGTTGTTCTTTTCGCGCTGGAGACGCGTGATGACGTCCCACACCTGCTGTGCGGCAGCCCCCTTACCCCAGACTTTCGGAATGGGGCCGTACAATTTTTGCAAAGAAATTATAGCTTGTGCGGTTTGGTATAAATACGTCGGGTCATTTTCAAGCGCGTACTCCTTGAAGACGTCTGAAATTTCCATTGACACTACATCTGCGTCAAAAGGGAACAACTCACACCGAAACTCCTCCACGAGATTAATGCTGTCGAAGACCCCAATGTGTTTTAGTCTCTCTATACACAAAAGATTCTTCTTGGGTACAAAAAACACGTGATATTGTTTTTCGGTTTTGGTCCTGGCGTCCGCTCGCACATTCTGGCCGACGTAGTCCATTAGGTGTAACTTGGGACGTGTTATGAATATAACGTGGGCGACGTCGACTTCAGGGAACGGTTCTGGTTGCAGAGGGAACATTTTCATGACTGAATGTTCCTTCAGGACTTTGTTTTGGGCGACGAGATCGACCGGACCAATGAGGGAGTTGTCCCAAACTATGGCTTTGGGACCTGGGCATTTTTTCAGGAGGCTAATGAGGTTGTCTTGAGCTTCGGTTTGTACGAGGGAGAAATCTAGGCGGCCACCTTTTAAATGACAGGAATGTGATGACATTTTGAGGTTAACTGTCACGGTGACAGCCGGAGATGATATTTATAGGGATTGTGGTGGTGACGCAGTTATGATAATCACGTAATCATGAAGTCGTTTTTTTTATTTATTTATTGATAACGCAAAAAGTACTCCTTACGTATTAGGTTTTATGAGTATGTCATCACTTCATCAGATTTTGACAAGGATGACAGGTGTGATTCGTTTGTTTACAAATTGTGATTACATAAGAGTTTAAGAGATGGCGTCGGTTCCTACGAGTTACCAGCGATTGCGGTTCTGTTGGATCATATAGGACAATAAGGACAAATGGTCGTCAGCTTTGCGCAGTGGCAGTATCGTAACCGATGAGGTTCATCCGAGGTGCGATTATTGCTAGTTGAAAACTTTAACCAATACCCCGCCATGTGCACGTGAAATACCGTGCGCTAAGGCAATTTTTGGAAGCCTCTACGGGGGCTTGTTAATAAATAAAAACATAATTTTCAACTTCAATCAAATCGATTGATGAACTTGAACAACGGTTTAGTAAACGTTTACTGCGATGACGTTGATTTTCAAGTTCAATAGTTGATGTTTGAAATCGTTTGAATGGTTTTTGACTTTAAAATCAATTAATTTTTTAAACGTTGATCTGGGATATAATTTGTTGATTCTGATGATCAATGTTTTTCTTGAACGTTGATCTTGCATGGTTTCTGAGTTTCTATCTAATAGTATTGATTAAGAAGCTGATTATAGGCCAAAATGGGCGACAAAAACGGGGATTTAGGCGGTTGTATTAATTTTCGTTAAAATTTGCATAACAAATTGGATATATTTCTAAATTTTCGGCAGAAAAAAATTTCTTTTTGTCTGTTAGGATATTTTTATACCTAGAGAAGGATCTCACGATGTTAAAGGGAAGTATTTAAAATAAGAAATTTCAGGGTTTCATTTTTAAATCTACATTTTCTTTGCTGACAATTTTTAGTTCTTGGTAGCCTGTATTTTTTTGTAAAGTAGTATCTTGCAGATATTTAAATGTCATTTCACGTACTGTCCCCGGGTTATCTTCCAATCGTTTTTATACAATTGCTGTACTAAGTATATCCACAAACTGACTTAAGGTCAGCCCACTGGTTTCCAATCTAGTTGTATTTGTTTTTAAGGTGGTAAATTGGGTTTTTATATAAGCTAAATTACGTTTGAGATGTCTTTGTTGGAAATCGTATTAGTCATCGGCGATGCATTTCGACTGTTGAGTCAAATTTCATAATAATCTAAAATGTTTCATTTAATTTAGAATTACACAACGAAATTATCAATAGCAATCACCGAACCTTTTTTATATTTTCAAAATGATCGCAATAATATATTTCTGCTTCAATCCATGAACCCCATCTTGTTACAATCAGTTCTGGAGGAGGCTTGGCTGTCAAATACTCCTAAGTTTTAAGAAATATATATTTTATTTAGCTGGGAAATTAAACCATTGACATGTTCATATTGATCCCGGATAACTTCAGCTACTAAACTTAAGGCTTGAGCTAAACATGTTACATGAATCAAGCCCCGCCTACCACCCCTATCTCAATTGTAATGATTTTTTTTATTCGTCGTGAGCTTAATTGCAAAATTCTTATTTCTCTTCGAGAAATTAAAAATATGTTTTAATGTCATATAAAGAAATAAGTATTTTGCAGTTAAGCTCCGTCCCCTTGGTTCACGGTGAATAAAAAAAATCACCACAAAACCATTTTAACCATATTCCAAGTTTCTTGTTATAAAAATAATGTGTACTAAGAAAAAAAGGCAAAATATAAGCCCCGCCCACCCGCCCTATCTCTATTCTGATGATGTTTTCATTCGACGTAAGTACGATTACGAATATTAATAAAATAGAGACAAAATATAAACCCCTCCCACCCGCCCTGTATCAATTGTGATGATTTTTTTTAATCGTAGAGAGCCAAGGGGGCGGAATTTAATTGTAAAATCCTTATTATTTCTCTACAAGAAATTACCATGGAAGACATGTTTTTGAGTTTAGTGTGATTCAAAAAATACTATGTACATATATTAAGAAAAAATTACAGCCAAAGATTAAGTCCTACCCTTACCTGCCCTGATCTAAATAGTAACGAAGTTTTCATTCCTTGGTAAAACTAGGGGCGAAGTCTAATTGCAAAATCCATATTTCCCGACAAAAATTTACCATTTTAAGCGTTATTTAGGTTTCTAAGAATAAAAAAAATCATCACAATTGAGATTGGGTGGGCGGGTGGGGTTAATATTTTGAATTTTTTTTTTAATATACATTGTGTTCTTTGAACAACACGTACTCAAAAACATGTTCTTAATTTCTTGTGAAGAAATACGTATTTTGCACTTCAGCTGCGCCCCGTTTTTTACGGAGAATAAAAAAAAATCATTACAATTGAGAGAGGGCGGGTGGGCGGGCTTGGATTTTTCCTTTTTGTTTTACTATGTGTAGACTTCTTTTCACAACATGAAACTTAAAACATGTTTAAAATTAAGCTCCGCCCTATAATTGCAAAATCCGTATTTCCTTGCAAAAGTTGACCATGTTTTAAGTTTCTTGTTGTGAAAAGATGGCTATGTATATTAAGAAAAAAAAGGCAGAATATAAGCCCCGCCCACCCACCCTATCCCAATTCTGATGACTTGTTTTTATTGGTCGTAAGCGGAGGGGCGGAGCCTAACTGCAAAAGTCATACTTCCTCACAAAAATTTACCATCTTAAACGTGTTTTAAGTTTCTAAGAATAAAAAAAATCATCACAATTGAGACAGGGCGGGTGGGCGGGCTTACATTTTGCCTTTTTTTAAATATGTGTAGACTTCTTTTCATAACATGAAACGTAAAACATGCTTAAAATGGAAAATTTGTATAAGGAAATATCGATTTTATAATAGGCTCCGCCCTAAAATTGCAAAATCCATATTTCCTTGCGAAAACCATTTTAACCATATTTCAAGTTTCTTGTTATAAAAATATAGCTTTGTGTACTAAGAAAAAAAGGCAAAATATAAGCCCCGCCCACCCACCCTATCTCTATTCTGATGATTTTTTTATTCGACGTAAGTCAAGGGGAGAACTTAATTGTAAAGTCCTTGTTTTTCTACGAGAAATTACCATGTGAAATATGTTCTTAAGTAGTCGTGTTATACAAAGAAAACTAAATGTAATATTTAAAAACGAAAACCAAAAGAAAAGCCCCACCCATCCGTCTCGATCTCACCGATGATGAATTTTTCATTCGTTATCAGACCGACGGGCGAAGCCTAATTGCAAAATGATACTTTCCTACAAAAATTTACCATTTCGAACATGTTTTAAGTTTCTTGTTCTGAAAAGACGACTACACATATTAAGAAAAAAGGCAAAATATAAGCCCCGTCCACCCGCCCTGTCTCAATTGTGATGATTTTTTTAATCGTCGAGAGCCAAAGGAGCGGAATTTAAATGCAAAATTTTTATTATTTCTCTACAAGAAATTATCATCCGTTGGCAGACTTAGGGGCGGAGCCTAATTGCAAAATCCATATTTGTTTACAAAAGTTTACCATTTTAAACGTGTTTTTGAGTTTCTAATAATAAGAAGAAAAAAATTATCACAATTGAGATGGGGTGTATGTATGGGCGGGGTTTATATTTTGCCTTTTTCCTTAATATACATCGTATTTGTTGAACAACACGATACTGAAAAACATGTTTTTAAATTCTTGTAAAGAAATAAGTATTTTGCAGTTAAGCTCCGTCCCCTTGGTTCACGGCGAATAAAAAAAATCATCACAATAGAGACAGGGCGGGTGGGCGGGCTGACATTTTGCTTTTTTTGATAGGTATGTGTAAACTTCTTTTCACAACAAGAAACTAAAAAAAATATTTAAAATGGAAAATTTGTATAAGGAAATTTGGATTTTGCAATAGGCTCCGCCCCATAATTGCAAAATTCATATTTCCCTGCGAAAACGATTTTAATCATGTTTTAAGTTTCTTGCTATAAAAAGATGCCCATGTATATTAAAAAAAAAAAGGCAAATTATAACTTACGCCCACCCGCCCTATTTCAATTCTGATGATTTTTTTATTGACCGTAAGCCGAGGGACGGAGCTTAATTGTAAAATCCTTATTTTTCTACGAGAAATTACCTTGTTAAATATGTTTTCAAGTAATCGTGTTATACAAAGAAAACGAATGTACTAATTAAAAAAAGAAAACCAAAAGGGAAGCCCCACCCATCCGTCTCGATCTCAATCGTGATGAATTTTCATATTTCCCTAATATTGTATTAATTAAAATCGAAAAGCAAAACCCTCTCGATCTCAACGATGATGGATTTTTCATTCGTTATCAAACCGAGGGGCGGAGCGTAATTGCAAAATCCGTATTTACCTATACAAATTTACTATTATAAACATGTTTTAAATTTCTTGTTGTGAAAAGATGACTACCCATATTAAGAAAAAAAGCAAAATGTAAGATGATTTTTTCATTCGTCGTGAACCAAGGGGAGGAGCTTAATTGCAAAATTCTTATTTCTCTACAAGAAATAAAAATATGTTTTTGAGTAGGTATTGTATTGTTCAAAGAATACTATGTATAGCCAAAAATTAAGCCCCACCCATTTTCATCCCAAGCTCAATTGTGATGAATTTTTCATTCGTTGTCATACCGAGGGGTGGAGCCTAATTAAAAAAGCGATACTTTCCTACAAAAATTTACCATTTTAAACATGTTTTACCAAAATTTGTCTAATCATCCCCACCACTAATGTGATGACGACACTTCAAAATTGTACGTAGTAAATGGGTTTTAAATTGTATCAAATAATATAGTCTTACACATGTAGTTTATGACTCAGAATTGAGATTTTACCAGAAACGTTCAGATTTTTGGAAAAAAATCAAAATTAGGAAACAACATTTTGACATTTATTTTGGAATCTGCAAACCGAATGCTTTAAAATCTTGCAAATGGTTTACTGGTATGATAAGCATGATAAGTTTTTATTCAAAATATATTTACTTGCCCCCTCCAAAAAATTGATGACATCACCTGAAAAGTTTGCCGAATAAATCCTATCTAAAATGTAGAAAATATGATGAATTTGTACTTGTAATTTATCATTCCATTCATATTTTTTGGATTTGCATATACAGGGTGACTAAAAAAAAATAATGAATGCGTGAATATATTTTATTTATTTGAACTACAAAATCGAATGTTTTGAAATCTTGGAGATGTTTTACAGTTATCATAAGCATGGTAAATTTTTAGTCAAAATACATTTCCTCATCCCCCCTCCCTAAAAAATTGATGACGTCACCTCAAAATTTTGCTGAATAAATGGCATCTTAAATGTGCATTGTGCAAAGTACGATGAGTCTATAATTGTGATTTATCACTGCATAAATATTTTTTAGATTTGCTTATACGGGGTGTGTGAAAAAAATTAATGACTGAGTCAATTTATTTTATTGATAAAATCAAGAATTGCAAAACTGAACATTTTGAAATCTTGACGTTTTGAAGTTATTGTAAGCATGGTAACTTTGTAATGAAAATGTATCTGTTTATCAACCCCAAAAAATTTATTACGGCATCTCAAAATTTTGCCGAATAAATTCTTTCGCAAATGTGCAAAATATGAACAGACTTTTAATCATTGCATTAGTATTTTTTAGATTTGCTTAGACAGGTGACTCAAAAAAATTAATGAATCAGTTAATTTATTATTGATCAAATTAAGAACGAGCCACCCCACTTTCTGGAAAATGTGAGAATACGCTCGTCTTTATAACAATAAAATAATGATACGGTAAGAATTATAATAATAACATTCATAATATTTTGTTCAATGGAGGCTTATGAATAATTTTAGTCATCTGTTTTGGCGCGATAAATTCATTCAAATCAAACAAATGTCCACGTGACATTCTTCCGATGTAATGTATTCCCCTTGGTAATGTGCTGTAAATAGATTTTTTGCACTCATAACCTTTTTTGATGACCTTGGCGAATTCAACAGCATGCGGGACGTCGAACATCACGCACAGATGCGTTTTACTATGACGTCGTTTATAAATAAAGCTGGTGGTCGAAATTTATTCATTTATATTTTGCCTTTTTTCTTAACATATTAAGATTTTTTAAGAATGTGAAACCTTCCCTGTAATGAATCATTTTTTAAAAGTAGTTCCAATCACTGCTCTTTAATAATAACGAAAAACTCCGAAACTACTGGACTGATTGTTGTTAAATTTTAGATGTTTATTAAGAATATCGCCTAGATTTCAAACAATATACTTTTATACTTGCAATTTATTATTAACCCACGCCTGTTTGTAACCTTATGAATGTAGAAACAACAAAACTAATTGCTCTGACAAGCTGATTTATAAATGACGTTTCTGAAATATTATATACATGCACCTGCCAGGTACGTGCCCATTATTCCAACTCAAAACCCGCATCAAACGCATAAAACACAGCTTTCGACCCGCCCGAAGCCCTAAAACTTACAAAAACCTCCACACGAAAACGCTTCCACCGTCGTATGGCTTCATCCCCACGTAACACGCGCTCTAATTCCAACCCCGCACTCGCGATGAAAAGTCCAGTTATTAAAAAAGCGCCCTAAACCCATGGACGACAAGCCCGACCATCACCCAGAGCTGTCGTCCCTGGACGCCGCCGGCACCTCCTACACCCTCAACGCCTTCCTGACCAACTTAAATTTAGAGAAAGAGGAGTCTGGTGAGTCCAAATCGAATTAGTTCGAATTTGTTGTTAATTAGATTTGTGCTTATTGAGTTTGAATGCAGATTATCAGGGCGAAACGGGGCACGCTTATCAGTGCGAGGGGGATGAAGGGGGCGCCGGGGCCAAGCGGAAGCAGAGGAGGTACAGGACCACGTTCTCCAACTACCAGTTGGAGGAGCTGGAGCGGGCTTTCCACAAGACGCACTATCCGGACGTTTTTTTCCGGGAGGAGCTGGCGCTGAGGATTGATCTGACGGAGGCGAGGGTGCAGGTGTGGTTTCAGAATAGGAGGGCCAAGTGGAGGAAGCAGGAGAAGGGCGCCAAAGGGGTGCAAACGGCGTTGAATATCAATACAGCGTGTGCAGCCCCCATGGAAAGCCCTTTGCTCAACTTCGCGCCCGAGCAGAGCCCCACGAACCTCTTCCTGGGTATGGAGTGGCCTTCGGTGCCCCCGCAAGTCCCGTTTTCTAACGGCCTGGAGCAACCCGTTGACATCAACACGGCTGTTCAGATCGCTGACAGGGTGGCAGGTCTTCAGACCAGCGTCATCGGGGATGCTATTCTGCTGGGGGACGAAGCTAACCTGGATCTGATTCAAGGTCCACACAACGAGATCAGCATTGATCCAGATTTATTGACTCTGAAACCATCAAGGAGTGTCCGCGGTGATGAATGTTAATTGATACCAATTATAGTACCTACATATCCTTTATTGTTAAGTCTGACGAGTTTCGGTTTTTTGGAGCAGTATTTAATAATGCCGAATGGGCGTGCATTTATTAATAAAGTGCATTCGGAACGAGAAAATGATGCAAGTGCACTTTGTGAAATAACTGGAAATTTTGTTATTTTGTTAAGGTTAGCCTAATTTTGGTGAAGTTGTTAATCTTTGGTTGTTTGTTATCTAAGTATCTGTAAGTGATGTAATGGTGGTTTTTTTAAGGGGCGGGGTGTGTTTGTTTGTTACGTTGGTGATTAGATAGGTTTTTACTCAAAGGTTTGTTATCTATGGTGTGAAAAATATACACTTGTGAGTAATTTTGGGACGCTGTGTTTTACCTGTGTGTCGTAATAGAAAAAAGAGAGATATCGAGCAAATCGAAAATGAAAATGTTTTTTTTTTTTTTTGTAAGAATTACAAAGCACTTAAAATGATTAGCACGCAATAAAAATTCCTTCCAAATTAACAATTGGATTAAAATTACATTATTGTTTGTTTTGTTTTACACACTTCATCCATGTGCTTGCTTAAGTTAAGACAATTTAATATTTTCGATGTTCACAATAAACTCCTGGATCTATTTTTACTTTCCAAGCGTAAGCTAAGCAAGTATTGTAATAGTATTCGACGTTTCATAATCCCTAGAGTATGAACAAATGGGTTTTCCATTTCCGCCTGCCTGTTGTTTGTGTCGTAATTATATATTAGACAGATATCGTGTAGATATTAAAACGCTAAAATCACCTAAGTTTAAGTATCTCTAAATGGTCTTTTGTTACTTTTACAAGACACATTATTGTTGTATCAGGCTATTTTATGTACTCTTTATAACATCTTCTACAGCATGCGATTTATGTAACTTATCTCTTTGTCAACGTTGACAAATCGGTAAAAGTAAACTACATAAAGAAAGTAAATAGGTAAATACGGGTAAATAGGCGAGCGTAAGCTAGTCCATTGGCAATTTTATTAGTCAGATAATCTACGTGTTACGAAATTTTATGTGTACCTATTGATGGTACAAAACAAACAAAACTTGTCTGTTCATCCTCACGTCATCTCAAAATTTAAATTATTATCATTTATATTATTGCATTAGCAGTAATATAATTAATAATAATTTAAGTAATGTAACTAATTTTACTGGATATTATTACTTGGTCGTAGTAAGTACAAAATTTTGTTATGAATAATTCACTTGAAACATACGTTTAACTTATCACAAAAAAAATATTCGCAAAAGGTAGATTTGTTTGAGTGTATTTCAGGGAGAGGAAAGTTCTGTCTAAATAACTGTAGTTACATTACTATTTTTACTTTATTCTGTATCGCATTATGAATTATAAAAACAATAAAAATTCTGTATCCTAGCGAAACTTATAAAAATTAAGCACAAAAAGTGTTGGTATAACATACAGACTGTCCGGTAAGTACGAGAAAAATTTTTATTTTTGCTTCCCGAGCGTAAGGTAGAGAAATATTGTAACAGGAGTCTTCCAAATAATGCCTACTTTTCCCCCGTTTCGGTTTGTCCTATCTGTCGTTTTTTTTTAGACAGACAATAGTCTCCGAAACTTCTGAGCTGATTGTCAAATTTTGGACGTATATTACGGATATCCTGTAGATGGAAACATGCTAACTAAAATTTGTCCGCTCCTCCAACAATTTGATGACGTCGTATTAACATTTTGCGTAGTACTTGATATTTGAATTTTCTAAAATAACATACTTCTGTATTTAATTTTTTTCTTTTTGTAGCCATTTTTTGTTGTTTTTTTTTGTCACTTTTTGTAATCACTTTTTATGAACTTTTTTGTTGGGTTTTTGCCCTTTTCTTGTAACTTTTTGTAGTCGTGCTTTGTTGAATTTTTAACGTCTGCTTTCTCGCTTTTTATATGTTTTTTTTGTCACTTTTTGTGTCGATTGTCGTTTTGTCGCATTGTTTGATCCTCTTTTTTTATTCACTTTTTCTTTTGGCTTTTTTCTCATTTTTTCCTTTCTTTATTTTTCTTTGTACCCTTTTGTAATTTTTTTCTAGTTTTATGTTGTTTATTTAGCCTTTTTATAGTCATCCTTTTTGTCGTGTTTTTTATGGACTTTCTTGCTGTGGTTTTTGTCCTGTTTTTGTTGTCTATTTTCTGGACGTTCTGCAGCTTTTTTGTGAATTTTTTGTCGCTTTTTATGACAATTTTTTTTCGGAATTTTTTTGATTCTCTTCTTTTTGTCGCGTTTTTGGTCTGTTTTTTTACTAATTTTTTGTCGTGCCCTTTTTCTCGCATTTTTCTTGGTTATTTTTGTCCTGCGTTTTTATAGTGTTTGTGTAATTTTTAGCGTTTTCTTTTGTAATATTTTTGACTTTTTGTCGTATTATTTTATGGATATTTTTTTGACCACCTTTTTTATACACTTTTTCTTTTCGCCTTTTTTTCTCATTTTTTTTAATTTTCTTTTTTTGTGGTTTTTTGTCATTTTTTTCTAGTTTTGTGTTGTTTATTTATCACTTTTTATAGTCGTCTTTTTGTTTTTTTTAATGATATTTTTCTCACTTTTTGTACTCACCTTTCATACTTGATTTTCTTGTCCTGTTTTCGTAGTCTATTTTCTTGAGCTTCTGGAGCTTATTTTGAATCTTTTGTCGTTTTTTTTGTAAAGATTTTTTTTAATCTCTTTTATTTGGTCGCTTTTTTATGATCATTTTTTGGGCGGATTTTTTTTGACTCCCTTCTTTTTGTTGCGTTTTTCGCGCGTTTTTTTAAATCATTTTTTGTCCTGCCCTTTTTTCGCATTTCTCTTGAATTTTTTTGTCCTACCTTTTTGTAGTTTTTTTTTGCGTAATTTTTAGGGTTTTCTTTTGTGCAATCTTTGACGTTTCTTTTTTTGACTCCCTTTTTTCTCATTTTTCCTTGTTTTATTTTCTTTTTTTGTGCGTTTTTGTAATTTTTTTTCTAGTTTTGTGTTGTTTATTTATCTCTTTTTATTTTTTGTGGACTTCTTCCTACGTTTTTTGTCCTTTTTTTGTGTCGTATTTTTGTCATTTTTGGTATTCGCCTTTCGCACTTGAGTTTCTTGTCCTGTTTTTGTTGTCTATTTTTTTGACGTTCTGCAGCTTCTTTGTGAATTTTTTGTCGCTTTTTTATGACCATTTTTTTGGTGGCATTTTTTTGACTTCCTTTTTGTTGCGTTTTTGATTCGTTTTTTTTACTCATTTTTTTGTCGTGCCCTTTTTTTGCATTTCTCTTGAAGTTTTTTGTCCTGCGTTTTTGTAGTTTTTTGCGTAATTTTTAGCGTTTCTTTTGTGAAATTTTTGACGTTTTTTGTAGTCTTTTATTTTGTTGTATTTTTCATGAATATTTTTTCGTCCCCTTTTTCTCTTGGGCTTTTTTCTCATTTTTTTCATTTTTTTTTATTTTCTTTTTTGTGCCTTTTTTGTACTTTTTCTATCCTTTTTTTTTTGTCGTTTTTTTGTCACTTTTTGTAGTCGTCTTTCGTACTTGATTTTCTTGTTCTGTTTTTGTAGTTTATTTTCTGAACGTTCTGCGGCTTTTTTTGTGATTTTTTTTGTCGTTTTGTTTTTTTTTGTAGAGATTTTTTAAATAATAATAATCTTTTTTTGTCGCCTCTTTTATGTTCTTTTTTGGCGGAATCCTTTCTTTTTGTTGCGTTTTTGGTTCTTTTTTTATATTCACTTTTGCCTTTTTTGGCATTTCTCTTGAATTTTTTTTGTTTGTAGTCTTTTTGTCATTTTTAGCGTTTTTTCTTGTGAAATTTTTGACATTTTTTGTAATCTTTTAATGCTCCTTTTTGCTGTATTTTTTATGAATATTTTTTTGACCCTGTTTTTGTTATTTACTTTTTTCTTCTTGGCCTTTTTTGTTGTTTTTTCTCTTTTAATTTTCCCTTTTTTTGTGTTTTTTTGTCATTTTTCAAGTTTTGTGTTGTTTATTCATCACTTTCACTAGTCGTCTTTTTGTCGCATTTTTTGTGGACTTTCTTTTTGCGTTTTTTTGGTCCTTTTTTTGTCAATTTTTATACTCGCCTTTCGTACTTGATTTTCTTGTCCCCTTTTTGTAGTTTATTTTCTGGAACTTTTTGTGATTTTTTTGGAGATTTTTTTTAATCCTTTTTTTTTTGTCGCTTTTTTTATGACCATTTTTTTGGCGGAATTTTTTTGACTCCCTTCTTTTTGTTGAGTTTTGGTTTGTTTTTTTTACTCACTTTTTGTGTTCCCTTTTTTTCGCATTTTTCTTGAATTTTTTTGTCCTGCGTTTTGTAGATTTTTTGTAAGTAATTTTTAGCGTTTTCTTTAGTGAATTTTTTGACTTTTTTGTAGTCTTCTAATCTTCTATTTTGTCGCATTTTTATGACTATTTTTGCACCCCTTTTTTCCATTTTGGCGCTTTTTTTGTTACTCACTTTTTCTCATGGGCATTTTTTTAGCATTTTTTTTGTCCCCTCTTTTCGTCTTTTTTGTTTTTTTGAGAAATGTTTTCCTTTTTCATTTATTTTTACCCTTTCTGTTATGTTTTTCTAGTTTTATGTTGTTTGGTTAACACTTTTTGAAGTCGCCTTTTTCTTGATTTTTTTGTCCTCTGTTTTTGTAGTCTTTTTTCGGACTTTTTGGGCTTCTTTTGTGAAATTGTTGTCGTTTTTCGCTTTTTCTAGTTTTGGGTTGTTTTTACTAGAATTTTTTTTTGTTGCTTTTTTTGTAGCGTTTTTTGTTCTCTTTTTTGTCGCTTTTCTTACATTTTTGCCTCATTTTTGGTCCCCTTTGTTAGTAACTTTGTGCACCGGCTTTTTTCTTATATCTATGTTTTTTTTTGTCTACTGTTTTCACATTTTCTAGTGCCGTTTTGTGGACTTTTTATTGTTTTGTCATTTTTAGTTTTTTTGTGACTTTGTCGCTTTTTGTAGTCGTTTTTGGTGTTTATTTTTGACACTTTTTTTTTGTGCATTTTTGTGGATTTTTTCTGTTGCGTCTTTTTTATCAGTTTTGGAGTCGCCTTTTTTGTTGATTTTTGTCAATTTTTTTAAGGGTGTTTTGGTTCCTTTTTTGTAAGATTTTTTATCACTTAGTTGGGTTTTTTTATTCGCACTTTTTGTAATGGTTTTTGTCTATTTTCATGGATTTTTATTCTCTGTTTTCGCATTTGTTGTCGCTGTTTTTTGTGGAGTTTCTGCCATTTTTTTAATGTCTTGTTTGTTACTTCTTTTTGTCGCGTTTTTCACTTTTTTTTTGGTCACTTTGTAGTCACCTTTTTGTAGCTTTTGACTCTCCTTTCTTAGTCGTTTTTTTTGCATTTTTGTACAATTGCTTTGTTGTTAATATCTGATTTGTCATGTTCTAAACAAGCACCTACAGGAAGGAGAAAAATAAAACAAACCCATTTGTTTGCAATAAGAAACTTTATTGAAAGAAAGTATATTAATCTGATATGGGTAAAGCTAAAACGACTAGACCCTGGCTTTACTTTCTAAAATTCTAAATATTTGAAAATATTGCTAAATCTTTTCCAAGCTACGATAATAAAATATCACAAATTGTACTTATTGTTGGTAATCGTAAACTAGAAGCTATTTATTAAATCGCTAGCTCGTTGGTCTTTGTTTACTATAATCTACCATTATTGTACCAAATCGTTGATAATTTTCGAAAATTATTGGCAATGCAATCACGCTGTATATTATTATTCGAAAGACCGAGACATCAGGGGAACGTACTTTTCCGACGGTCTGTACTTCCACTGCGAACACAGTTCATCACTTTCTGCTTGAGTGTACCCATTTCTGGAAAGAAACAAACAAAAAATTCGGTCAAAATTTATTTACTACAAAAGTAAAAAAGTGGAAAAATACTACAACAGTCTTAGTTTTCTCAGTATTATGTTGAAGAAGAACTCGTGTTTGCTCCTCCAGTCGAAACGAGGGAAACGACTACCTATGTACCGACCAAAAACCACGAATTCTAGCGTACAGTTGATACTAGTTTTGGTTTCGCCGTCGCCGTTTTCTTCAGCTTGAAAGCGAACGTCGATGTCGGGATAGTCTTTGGACGTGTTATTACTAAAAACAAAATAAAAGAAAAACAAAAACTAAATAAATAAACGTCAAAGTGTCTAGGGACTTTTTTTTTTAGCCAACATAAATCGCCGCCTGACGTTAGTTGTTATTGTCGCTCGCTCTTACCTCTGCAGCTGTGAGCACGGACTCCTCTCCTTGAAACAAATCACCTGGACGATGTTGAAGAAAATGGCGCCGATGGTGTTTGCACTTTCCGTGTTGACGTTTTGCAAACACCTTCTGAAGGTGGCATCACAGTCGCAGTGGGACCTGGTGAAGGGCGAGTCGTTGCAGATTCCTTGCCTGCATTCGCCTCGCAGGAGGTTGTTGGGGCAGTTGTCGTGGTCTCTGCAGCACATGTCCTCTTTGGTGTGGTAGCCCAGGTCGGTGAAGTTCCTGGCGATGGTTCCGGGGCCGCACCATTTGGTTCCGGGGTAGATGAAGCCGCCTTGGTGGGATGAGTGGACTTGGTTGTTCTGGCACATTTCCACTAGTTTGGAGATGGACTCGTCGGAGATCTGGCGGACTCGGCGGGGGTCGGAGCTGAGTAGCATGTTGCGGATTTTGCCTCTGAAGTTACAATGACAGTTGATATATAGATAAATTGTAAAATTTTGAACCTTTTTACAAAATTCTTACTCTCTAAAGTAAAATTAAGGGTGGACTAATAAACTACAAGCGTAGACTTTTACATTATATAAAATTACAAAGGATTTGCTTAGCAAACTTTGGAGATGACGTCAACAAACTGTTGGTGGGGATGAACAAACTTAGTTTTAGTCATCATGGAAATGGTAGATTGACACTTTTGTACAAGTAGTAAAATTGAAATAAAAAAAATAAAGAGAAAAAGACTTTTGGTAGCGATAAATATGAAAAAATATGAAAAACAGGGAGTATAAAGAGACAACTACTTGAAAATATGGAATTTGAAATATGAGGTAAAATAATAGAAGAGTGTTAAAGAAATTATCGTTTGCAAAATTAGGAAAGAAGTAAGTATGAGATCAGAATTAGAACAGAAAGAAGAAGAACACACATGAAAAGAAGGAAAAACGAAAAAAATGCATAAACCGATAACAATTACTTATAGAATAAAAGAAATATAAAAGGAAACGTAAAATTCAATTATCTAATTGTCTAATATTTCTTTATTTGTCGCAGGTCTACATTTCCGATATACTGTTATAAAATCTTATTATAAAATTTTAATGCCTAGGGTCAATAGTCAAGGTGGATTCATAAACCACGAGTATGTTATTTCATAGAATTTATATAACATGTACAAAAAATTGTTGGTGGGGATGAGTACACAAATTGTGCTTAGCATTTTATGCTCTGCACGATATTTTTAACATAAATATAAAATTATTATTATTATTATTATTATCATCATTAATACATATCGATACAGAGAGAAAATAGGCAGACCCACATTTCCGCATTCTAGGAGTCGTGAAGCGTCGAGAAAACATGAAAGTAGTCATTCGTCGGATGGATTCTATTACAAGACTTTTTTTTCGCATTTTGTCGTCGTCTTTTTGTCTCTTGAATTTTTTGTCCCATGTTTTTGTTTTTTTTTTGTGGAATTTTTATCGTTTTGTGTGAAATTTTTGTCATTTTTTGTAATTTTTTAATCCTCTTTTTGTCCCGTTTTTATGACCATTTTTTTTACTCCCATTTTGGTCGCATATTTTTGTTGCATTTTGGTTTCTTTTTGTTGCGTTTTTGGTCTTTTTGTATCGACTTTCTTTATTCCTTTTTGTAGTCGTCTTTCTTTTTGATTTTTTTGTCGTATTTTTTGTCGTGTTTTTGGCTCTCTTTTTTACCCATTTTTTGTTGTGTCCTTTTTTTTCGTATTTTGTTGACTTCTGTTTTCGCATTTTTTATTGCTTTTTTGTGAACTTTTTGTTGTTTTCTCTAGTTTTGTGTTGTTTCTACTTGAACCTTTTGTAATATTTTCATGTACTTTTCGTTGTTTTTTTTTTCTGGCGTTTTTTGCTTTCTTATTTTTGGTCTTTTTTTTTTACATTTTTTGCTCTCTATTTTCGCATGTTGTTTTTGTCATTTTTCAGTTCCTTCTTTGTGACTTTATTTGTCGCTTTTTGTAGTTGTTTTTGGTGTTTTTTATCGTATTTTTTGTCATTTTTGTAGATTTCTTGCAAGGTGTTTTTATTCGTTTTTTTTGTGAAATTTTTTATCCTTTGCTTTCGCATTTGTTGTCTCTTTTGGATTCTGTGTAAAATTTTTGACGTTTTTTGTAGTTTTTAATCCTCTTTTTGTCGCATTTTTGATGACAATTTTTTTGACTACCTTTGTTATTCACTTGTTTTTGATGTGTTTTAGTTCAATTTTGTTGTGTTTTTGTTTTTTTTTATCGACTTACTTTGTTACTTTTTGCTTTTCTTCTTGATTTTTTTTTGTCCTCTGATTTTGTAGTCTTTTTCCGGACTTTTTGACGCTCCTTTTGTGAAATTTTTGTCGAGTTGTTTTTATCTTGTTTCTTGTCGCATTATTTGTGACCATTATTTTGTCGTTTATTTTCTCCTTTTTTTTAATCGCATTTTTTTGTTGCGTTTTTGGCTCTCTTTTTTACTCATTTTTTGTTGTGTCCTTGTTTTCGTATTTTTTGACTTCCGTTTTCGCATTTTTTATTACTTTTTTGGGGACTTTTTATCCTTTTTATTTTCTTTTTTGTGGACTTTTTTGTCCTTTTTATTTTCTTTTTTGTGACTTTTTGTTGCTTTCTCTAGTTTTGTGTTGTTTCTACTTGAATCTTTTGTAATATTTTCTTGTACTTTTCGTTGTTTTTTTTCTGGCGGTTTTTGTTTTTTTTTGTCATTTTTTTAAAAATTTTTTGTCTCGTTTTTTGACCCCCTTTGTTAGTGACTTTTTGTAGTGGTTTTTTCTTATTTGCATGTATTTTTTTCCCTCTATTTTCGCATGTTGTTTTTGTCATTTTTCAGTTCCTTTTTTGTGACTTTATTTGTCGCTTTTTGTAGTTGTTTTTGGTGTTTTTAATTGTATTTTTTGTCATTTATGTAGATTTCTTGCAAGGTGTTTTTTTGTGAGATCTTTTATCCTTTGCTTTCGCATTTGTTGTCGTTTTTGGATTCTGTGTAAAATTTTTGACGTTTTTTGTGTTTTTTTAATCCTCTTTTTGTCGCATTTTTGATGACTATTTTTTTGACTACCTTTGTTATTCACTTGTTTTTGATGTGTTTTATTTCAATTTTGTTGTTTTTGTTTTTTTTATCGACTTATTTTGTTACGTTTTGCTTTTCTTCTTGATTTTTTTTGTCCTCTGATTTTGTAGTCTTTTTCCGGACTTTTTGACGCTCCTTTTGTAAAATTTTTGTCGAGTTGTTTTTATCTTGTTTCTTGTCGCATTCTTTGTGACCATTATTTTGTCGTTTATTTTCTCCCTTTTTTTAATCGCATTTTTTTGTTGCGTTTTTGGCTCTCTTTTTTACTCATTTTTTGTTGTGTCCTTTTTTTCGTATTTTTTTGAATTCTTGTTGTTTTTGTCATTTCTCAGTTCCTTTTTTTTGACTTTATTTGTCGCTTTTTGTAGTTGTTTTTGGTGTTTTTTATCGTATTTTTTTGTCATTTTTGTAGATTTCTTGCAAGGTGTTTGGCGCTCCTTTTGTGAAATTTTTGTCGGTTTTTTTTTGTCCTCTTTTTGGCTCCCTTTTTTTACTCAGTTTTTGGAGTGTCCTTTTTTCGCATTTTTGTGGAATTTTTATCCTTTTTACTTTCTTTTTTTTTGTGATTTTTTGTCTCTTTTTCTAGTTGTGTATTGTATCAAATTTTTGTTTTCTGTTTTCTTTTTCTGGTCGACTTTTTTTACATTTTTATAGTCTCGTTTTTTGACCCCTTTTGTTTTTTCACCGTTTTTTCTTATTTGTATGTATTTTTTGTCCTCTATTTTCGCATTTTTTGGCGTCTTTTTGTTGTTTTTATCATTTTCCAGTTTCATTTTTTGTGAATTTATTTGTCGCTTTTTGTAGCTCTCTTTTTGGTGTTTTTTGTCACATTTTTTGGTCGCCTTGTTTAACTACATTTTTGTAGACATTTTTTGTTGCGTTTTTTTGGCCCATTTTTGATCGTGTTTTTTGTCAAAAAAATTGATGTCACTTTCGGCGAAAGCACAGTGATGTAGCTACTCGTTGTAATAGGATCCATCCGGCGAACGGCTACTTTCATGTTTCCACAACGTTTAACGATCTCTAGAGAATGAAAAAATAGATCTCCCGTTTCCGTCTGTTCATCTTTCTATCGTTTGTCAATTGTGTGCGATTTTTATTAGACAGCGTATCTTCGAAACTGTGGGATCGATTTGGGTTTTGGGATTTTTCAATTTTTCGATTATTAAATTTCTCGTTTATTTTATTTTTCGATTTCTCTATTTTCCGATATTTCAGTTTTCCGATTTTTCAATTTTTCGATTCTTCAATTTCTTTTAATAATAAATTTTCCTATTGTTTAATATTCCACTGTTTGGTGTTACTAAATTTTCTATCGATCGATTTTTCGACTTTTTGACTATTGGATGTTTTGATTTTTCGTTATTTTGAATTTCTCATTTCTCGATTGCTCAATTTTTCCGTGTTTCGGTGTCTCCACTCCTCAGTTTTTCGATTTCCATATTTTCGATTGTTTCTCGACTTTTCGATTTTTTAATTTTCCTCTATCTCAGTTTTTCGATGTCCGAGTTTTGAAATTTTTCAGTTTTCTATTTTTCAATTTTTCGATATTCGAGTTTTAGGATTTTTTAATTTTCGAATCTTCAATTTTTCGATTTTTTTGTAAGTATTCCAGTTTTTCGTGTTTCTAAATTTTCGATTTTTCGATTTTGTGATTTTTCGACTTTTCCAACTTCTCTCGACTTTTCGCTTTTTCGATATTTTGATCTTCCCATTCATCGATTGCCCAATTTTTTGGTTCTTCGATTTTTCAGTTTTTCGACTTCTCGACCTTTTGACTATTAGATTTTTCGATTTTTGGATATTTTGATTCTCCCATTTCTCCATTGCCCAATTTTTCTGTTTCAGCGTCCGGCTTCTCAATTTCGGGATTTCTCGATTTTTTCATTTTCATATTTTCGATTCTTCCTCGATTTTGCAATTTTTCGATATCTCAGTTTTTCTTTTTCAGTTTTGGGATTTTTCAATTTTTCGATTTATCGATTGATCGATCAATTTTTTGAGATCGAATTTTGGGATTTTTCAATTATTATGATTCTTCAATTTTTTCTTATGTTAATTTCTTCGATTTCTCGTTTTTTGATTTTTCGGTTTTTTGATATTTCAGTTTTTTGGTTTCTTAAATTTTAGATTTTTCGATTTCTCATATTTTGATATTTCGGTTTTTCGATGTTTCAATTTTTTGGTTTTTGAATTTGTCAATTTTTTCTTTTTATCATTTTTCGATTTTTCGAATTATCCAAATTTCAAAAACTCAAAAACGGAAAAACTGAAGATCTCAAAGTAAAAAAATTGAAAATTCGAACATCGAAAAATCGAAAAGCAAAGAAATTGAAGTCTAAGAACTAATGAATGGAAAAATTG